TAGTCTGGAAGAAGACATAAGCTACTAACTTTTTTTTTTTTAATTACACGCGAGTGAGAGCTAGAATTATGAATGCAAATATTTGGATTGTATGTACTTTTGTAACCTAGAACAAATTCAGATATTCCCAATATGAAAACATACGGTTTTCAAATATCTTGGAGGTTCGGAATATCGCACAAGTCCCACACAGAACACAATTTTAAGTATCTGATCGTGGAGGGATACGGGGTAACGCACTGCGCATTAGACCGTGAGCCACCAAAATAATAAAAACGGCCTATACTATTTAAAATAGGGTAACCGTACCAGTAGTTGACATGTCATTCTCAAAGTAAACGGAATTTTACCTTTCACCTATTTGTGTCAATGTGATTAGGAACACTAAGGTCAGACCTAGTCGCAAGGTCTAGAAAGTTACTTACGAATAGCTTAATGCAAATAATACGCCTTTGACTCCGGGTTTTGACCTCTGAATTATTGTATTGACATATCCTTTTTTAAAGAGAAGTAAGGGGATGAAGATATGTATAAACTAGCTGTTCCCGTGCGGTTTCATCCGCATGAAATTATGAAAATTTTATTTTATTGTTTACAATTGTCGAATTCTCAATTGCAAATCACAAAATACCAATTACCTTACTATGGTTATCTTGTTTTCTTGATGTTGGCAGCAACTTATGGTCTCTTTCCCACATTAGGGTTTTTATCCAAAATATTTATCCCGTAAGTTTAATGGCGTGAAAATATATAGCCTAAAGCGTTACGTAAGTGTACGGTTTTTTATTAAAAAAAGAATTATTCATAAATATGCTGTAATTGCTGACATCTTAGGCAACAAAGAAGTGTGTGTTTACGCTTTATTATAATAGTATAGATAAAAATATATATTCTTATGTAACTCTGATGTGTTCTAAATTATTGATTTTATGCTATACTTTACAACTACACTAGCTGTTCTAATACGGCTTCATACGCATGATATTATAAAAACTTTATTTTATTGTTTACATTCTGTAAAAACTTGAATTTGCATATGTCAAAATTCAAACACTCAAATGACCCCACTATTGACAGGAATTAAGAAAACATAAACCTTGATATTTTACTGCTATTTGCTTGTAGTTTCTGTCCCTTTCTTACAAAGCAATGTCTTCCAATTCACTTATCCTCTAATGTTTATACCGTGAAATATATAGCCTAAAGTGTGTCGTATATTAAAGCTTTTTATTAAAGAATGAATTATTCAAAAACATTGCGTGATTGCTGACATCTTACGCTACGAAGTAGTGTGTGTTGTGGGTTTCTAAACGGAATGATAGGTTTTCTAAACGAACGCAGTTGTGAACGACTAGATTAAAATAAATCAAACTTTTTGGCGGTTCGGAACATCGAGTAAGTTAACGCAGAATGCAATTTCTGATATGACATTGCGTATAAGGGATGCGAGGAGCGCAATACTCTGTAGTTGACCTTGAGTGGCTAAAAATTTTGACACTTGTGCTCCAAAAGGTGCACTTGTGCTCCTGTAAAAACTGTAGAATACTTCAAATATGCATCATTAAACAATAATGAAGTCGTATAAATATCAGATCGAAGGTCGTAAGTTCGAGTTTGATGCGATGACTATTAAAACGTGATCGACTTTAATCAATATATCTGACATTGTAAAGGACATAGTACTACGAATACAAGTTGCACATCTTTACGTTCATTGTCAACAATGCATGTGATTGTCATCTTTACCTCGCTCATGGCGTAACTTTGTTTAGTCCATTTATGTATAGTCGAAGATTGCATATTCGCGCTGTTTAAATCCAACTTCTTTAACTTCTTTTTTCTTCTTAAAATTACCTTTTTTCAATATTTCCATCGAGTTATAATTCGCAAATTGTTAAAGGTACGGTAAGGACACTTCGCGGTGTTCAACTTTCAAGAAAGCCTTGTTCCGCTTAGAAATAACCAATTAAATCATAGTGAGTTTTCTCAGATGATGGGATTATAAAAAATCCTTTAGCCGTGTACTATGGTTCGAGTTATTTCCCTACAAACATATAAATAGAGCGTTGGTGGCTCAGTGGTTTAAGCACTTGACTTGTAATCTACAGGTCTTGGGTTCGAATTACGCCGTGTACCAATGTGATTTTCTATTTTTTCGAATTTTCATATGTACATAATTTACCCGACGTTCTTACGGTGGAGGAAAACATCGTGATGCAACCTGCACATGTCGGCAAAGTAATTCAAAGATATGTGTGAAGTCAACCAACCCGCAGTGGACTACGGCTTAGTCACCCATACTTAGGGTAAGCTCCGAGCCTCGGTGGTGACGTATAGTGAGCTGGTGATGATGATGATATAAAAAGTGCGTTTTTTTTGTTACTGTTCCTGGTCGTCGTACAAAACATTTGAATGAATATCTCTTTTGAGGAACTGCAAAATTCTCCGATAGTACGTTTAGATTGTTATTGTTATTCATTATTTATGCAAGCCACTTCCTGTTATTGCGTAGTATTTTATATTGAATCTGTGGTCAGGTTGAGCCATTTAAACTATTTGTAAATAGCCATTAACCTATTACATTAATAAATTAACGTTATTAAATAATTTCAAATTACGTAATATTACAATAGGAACTTATTGGGCTCATTAAGGTAAAAAGACGTGAAATTATGCAACGAAATGCGAAGTAAAATATGACAGAACGAATTTGAGAGTATTAATCATTTCAAATATCTTGTCAGCTCGGACCATTGCAAGAGTCTGCCAGAACACTATGTATAGCAGGGTATAAAGAGATGCGGATGGATACCGCGCAGTTGACCCTGAGCCGCTGAAAAGATTGAAATGGCTTATACATTAGATCAAAAGTGTAAATACTGATAAGCAAAACTAATTCAAGTTGTTAAAATGTCGCGAAAACAAGAAAAATCGATTTCGTATTTCACGCGTATTCACAAATCAATCAGAAATGTCATTTTTATGCCTGTCACTAGATGTCGCTTATACTTGTCGTGAGGCAGTTGTAAAACAAAGGATATATCAGACATCTGGACAGGTAACAGAGGTGATCATTATACGCATAGAAAAATATAAGAAAGAACACGACATGACAGCTACAGTAGGACAAGAAACTTGAGACATTCGTAGACATTGACAGGGGGAAACGCAAGTTATGCCCACCGTCTTAGATAATTCTGTCGGTCTATGGCATTGCTAATCAAGATGCCAACTTTAAATTGTGCAATACAGCGATTCCCAAATTGGTTGAATATATCCTATCCACTGAAGATCTGGCAGGGGCTACAAATTGTGGTAAAATTTTTGGCAAGTAGATAAAACGTAGGTCATCCTTATCCTACTACCGTAGTGACATAACTGGTTTTTGTCATCCACATAACTCTATCATACGGCACCTCAGACATCACTCCCTTCTTGATCATGTCTCCTTTCACGCAAACCATCCATCTCTTTCTAAGTCTACCTTTACCGGTGTACCACACTCATAACTAACGTTCTCCTTGTTATGCGATTCATCCCTCATAACGTGCCCATACCATGCTAACTTATTACTCCTTACCTTTACCACTGGGGCTACTTTCAAACTTCCTCTAATACGTGCGTTCGTGTCAAAATTACCAGAAAAAACATGATTTCTCCAGTATACTTAAGTTTCAAATTAAAAACGTATGTATTGTGTTATGTAATAATGACAGCAAAGGTCTGTACATAAATAAAAATGGTTTCCATTATCACTAATATATATTTTGATAATTATTGTCGTGTCGTGTGGTAATGCATTCGTCGACTCACGACTTTCGAATTACACCTTAACACACATTATAGCAAATTTTATCGCTGATTACTTGTTGTTCCATTTAGATCCTTTAAAAACCGTCTAAAAACCTCCTCTGGAATTCGCTTTAAAATGTACTACTCTTCCATTCTGTCAGTCTTGTTAAAATTCACTTCCTTACGCATATCCTCTTCCACTGTACGCAAGAGCTCTGTTAGCTATTTCCAGTCCTCCCTCTTGACATCGTCTTTTTTTATAATATAAGGTGGCAAACGAGCAACCACCTGAATCCACCAAAATGGACAGTGACCGCTGCCCATAAACATCCGCAATTGCAGATGCGTTGCCTACCCTTGATTGACGGAGGAGGAGACGCACATAAAGAGGACATTCCGCCTTCCAATGCGTCTCGTCCACCGTCAAATCCACTTTTCCTTCCCATAATTTCCTCTTAGCAAAGGGTGGAAAGGAAAAGGGACTAAAATTAGGCCTCCGGCACCACACTCATCAGACGAAACGCGGAATTGCTTCCACTTCACGCCTGTTTTCTGTATGGTCTTGACCGTCTTATACGACAACACCCATTTTCTTCTTTAGTTGCATATATTATTCTTGGTCTTCTATTTCTTGTTCTTTCTGTTGACGTGGTTGTATGGTCGTCGTATCGTATCAGATACTCTTCAGCATAATCTATATTTTCTTTTCTTTACCTTCTATATTCAATTATTTTTATGTGCCAATCATCTCTTATATTTTACTACGCTAATCTCTTGATTTTCAATTTTTTTCCATTTCTAGCGCAACTTTTAAATTCCCTCTAAAAGTAATGGGTCGATTTTAGATACCTATGTATCTTGAATTGAAGTAGTCAAACTTGACATAAGTCGCCGCGCAGAACACAATGTAAGGTGTCGCGGGGCGTAAGGTATGCGGGGTGAGGGCTTGACAGCGAGCGGATGACCTTGAGCCGCTAAGATATTTGAAAAGACATATACCCAGTATCTGTAGGTGTATAAATTGTAACAGGTATTGGGCTCAGATAGTCATCTTTTATCATTTCCTTGCAATTCTTTTGAATGTAGTGTTCCGGCTAATAGTCTCGTAAGTTGTAAGGTCGCGTCCGATAACGGTTCACAGGCACATAACCGAAGTGGGGGGAGCTGATATATGCGCGTGCGCACGAATGACGTAGCCTCGTTTCGTTTCAATTCAGTCTTCCGCCGGCAGCCGCACGGAGCGGACGTATCGATAAGTGATACGAGACTCGATCGTATTGGATTTCTACATTGATATCGTTCGACTACAGACGTTGCTGTAAATTGGTGAGGCTCAGTCATTTTACAAGCGAGAAAGTGGTATCAGTAGTTTTACTTTCGAATACGACGTGGCTAAATAATACGTATAAAGTAGACTAACGTGTTAATAAAGGTGTGGTTAATTTTTTTTTATTATTTTTTTATCGGTAAGTCGAGTTACGATTCTATACTGGGTTGTCTAACTTTTTTTTATATATTTTTTTCAATTTTATTTTACTTCGTATTTTTTTTTTAGTTTAATTAAATGTGTTATGTATACCTACTAATTATTATGTATGTTTCCTGTTAATGACGTTACAGTTACGAACCGGCTTCATTAGTAATTTAAAACAATTAGATTATTCAAAAACGATACGCTCGTGTTATAGACGGTTTCAATATGGAAAAAACTGTTGAAGATATTATATACACACGTATTTGAAGTTTGAAATTTTAAGGAAACTTATTAATATAAATGTAAAAGTTTGAATGAATAGATGTTTGTTAGAAACTCGAGGAACTGAGATGAACTTCAACATTGATTATCGAATAATCAGCTAAATAAGATTTTTATTATTCCACGCCGAAGTCGTAGACGACAGCTAGTATGTGTTAACTTAATAAATAATGCAAATTCTATCAACAGACCAGTTTTTGACGTTTAAATTTGTTACTCGGAAAAGTGTTTCCACAGTTTAAAAATTCACCGAAAATGTCTGTTTTGATAGAAAATAGAGATCCGATCAGAAAAACCGGTGCAGATTTTTAAAGCAAATAAAATCGTGTTTTATCTGATTGAAAGAAGGTTTAATTTTACTCTGTACCTCTTCTAGCAAGCGTAAAAAAGACACATAAAGTGAAATTAAACCTTATTTCAATGGCGTAAAGCTCAAATTTAGTTGTGTTTAAAATCTACTATACTACGCGCCGGTTTTTATGAACGGACCCCTACATATGTTAGTATGGAGGATTTTTTGTAAAACACAATTGTTACAAAATTCTAAACCTTACACTTTACTCTGTATTTGCATAATACTTAAAGAAATAACCTCTACATGACCTCTATTTTATCATTTGTTTATTTTTTTTATAATTGACTTTATAAAAGACAATTATCTGTAGATCTATTTGTAAATGTAATTACAGCGGTAAAAAATAAAAAATGGGGGTCGCCAGTCAATGATATAGAGTGGGGGTAGCTCGATGATTAAAGGGACGAGTAATAAAAAAATAATTTAAAAAAAAATGCTTACCTGTCCTATTTTTTTTATGAAAAACTGAAAAATTTTTAGTAGCTTATGTCTTCTTCCAGACTATGCTCTACATCTATGACAAATTTCGACGAGATTCGGTCAGTTCCGTCAATCTCTAACAAACATTCATCCATCCACACACATTAATTTTAGTAAGATTTAATAATTCCCGACTGAAGACGGGAGGGGAAGGCAGCTAATTGCAAATGAATTGCTTGACTTTGATTTAAGGAGGATGGGACTCACAGAAAGAGATTTCCTCCATGCGTCCACTTCTCCGTCAAATCTGCTTCACCTTTCTCACACCTTTAATATAGTTTTATTCGAAGTAGTTTTTTAATCTATTGTATTCGATTGTCTGGGGGATCTGTCTACCCCCCTTATGACACCCATGTCTTAACGTATAAGGTCATCATCTCCCCTGCCTTATCCTACTCCCATAGGGTCGGCGCACCGGGTTTTCGTCCTCCAAAGCACTCTATCATCCGTCATCTCAGTCTTAACGTATAAGGTAGTTTGTATAAATCGCATATTTGCGTTCGTTACATTTACCTTGACAAATAAGGAAACCTCTTCAGTTGATGAAAACACGCTTTAATGGTAGTTAATTGGTTTATTTATTTGATATTATTAACATATTAGAATAATAAAATAATAACACTATCATACGTCATCTCAGTCATCACTCCCTTTTTCATCATGTCACCTTTCACGCATCCATCCATCTCTTTCTAGGTCTACCTCTACCGGTGTACCTCCACACTCATAACTAACCTACTCCTTGTAACATGCGATTCATCCCTCCTAACATGTCCATACCATGCTAACCTTTTACTCCTTACTATCTCTACCACTGGGGTAACTCTCAAACTTCCTCTGATAGACTCATTTCGTATCTTATCCGCGCAGACGGGGTCGCGGGCAATAGGTAGGTTATACAATAAGTGTCACCACTACAGATTTCAAGTTTAGAGGCTTGAGCATGTTTGTTCTATTTGGCGGCAAGCACTTAACCTCCATAGCAAACTTGTAGTCTTTTGTGAATCTAGGTTATACAAGCGCACTTTAAAAGAAATATTCTTTCTTGGTGTAAAAATTGTCATTTTAGTAGTACTGAACAGCTCTAAGCTTCAGTCCGGATTTCCTTGAATCGGTACGGATGTAGAGCACATTCTGGAAGATCACATAGGCTACTTATTATATATTTTTTTAATTCCTAGCGGACGGAATCGCGGGCAACAGCTATCTTACTAATATTATAATTGCGAAAGTTTAGATGGATAGATGGATGTTTGTTAGCGTTTGTTGCCTAAACGGCTGAACGGATCTCCATGAAATTTGGCACAGGTTTAGAGCATAGTCTGGAAGAACACATAGGCTACTTTTTATCCCTGGAATAGTTACGGTTCCCGTGGGTTTCATTAATTTAGTTTTTTAATGTGTAAACTCGATCATTCTGCAACGGTTCAACATATCTTATTGAAATTTGGCACAGATATAAAACAAAGTCTGGAGTACACATGGGATGAGCTTCATCCCCGAGAAAAGTCCGGTTCCCGGGATACGTAGCTATTTGTAATTTATATAGTTCGTATGTTTTCTAATACTACACGGACGAAGTTGCGGGCAACAGCTCGTTTTTTAATAAAAATATATTTGAATAAATTATGATCGAAATTCAAACAATAACCGACCACTGGTTATAAAGTTCAAGCTTGGTTTACCAGATTCTTTCCATACCATAATCAAAACCTGTTTTGAATCAACAATTGTATCAAAAGATTCAAGATTTATGCCCGCTCGGTGTAGCTGCGAACATGTTGCGATAGCATAAGTTTGGATAGCACTGTACCTTTCATGTAATTGGAACACCAATAGCTTAAAAGCGGGCGCACACCTTTGAATAACAATCGAACAACTTATGATTGTCGATTGTTTCGCAGTTAATTCAACTGTTTAGTTGCACAACTAAAAATCGAGTGTGCACCTCCATATAAGCCCATGGGAATCAAAGAGGGACTAAGCAGTTGTATGAAAGTTTAGTTTCAGGTGTGCACACTCTAATGCTTAAGGGTATAGATCTACCTAGAGCGGTCGTAGACACGTCTCTGATCACCATTGATTTGTATAATTGTTATATTTCAAACATCTTCGAGGCTCGGAATATCGTAAGTGTCAGCACAGTGTTAAGTGAAGAGTGTATTGTGTGTTCACTGCCTAATATCACTAGACGCGTTTAAGCCTGAACGAAACAAAAATTATCTTTTTTAAACACGAACTTGTCAAGCGAAATCTATATAGTCTTTATAAAATTGTAAATTCAGTTATAGACAAAGAAACAGGAACAAATATGTATCATCATCTTCCCTACTTTATCCTACTCCCGTAGTGTCGGCGCAACAGGTTTTCAACCTCCAAATAACTCTATCATACGTCATCTGTCATCACTCCTTGATCATGTCTCCTTTCACGCAATCCATCCATTTTTTTTCATGTCTACCTCTACCGGTGTACCTCCACATTCATAACTAACGTCCTTGTTCCATGCGATTCATCCTTCATAAGCCCATACCATGCTAACCTTTTACTCCTTAATTTCTCAAACACTTATCAACTTTCTCCTTATGCTACTCCCGTAGGGTCGGCGCAGCAGGTTTTTGTCCTCCACATAACTCTATCATACGTCATCTCAGTCATCACTCTCTTAATTCCTAGGACACTAGGACTCTTAAGCTATTCATGCTAAGTTTCTGAAGTTCCCACTTATTTTGTCATTACCTAGCGAATAATTCGCGTTAGGTTGAACAACGTTTTGGAATTAAACTCAAGTAACGTAGTTCGGAAATGCGTTTCATGACGTTATGGTTAAACGTAGGTGAGAAACTGGCCCTTAGTATTGAACTTTGCATACTTAAATGGCCGTGGACTTTAATGATTTAGTATATTAACATATTGTTTTTAATAATAATATTCGATGAATATGTAAATGTCTACGTTGAAGAGTTTTTGCTTGAAGTTTTTTTATGTGTATTCTATTGTTACGTCTTGTAGTCGATAGATATTTTTTTCAATAAATATACGTTTAATGCTGGTTTGCTGAAGTTTCCATTTATTTTATCACTAGCTGTTGCCCGTGACTTCGTCCGCATGGTATTAGAAAACATACGAACTATATAAATAACAAAAAGCTACGTATCCCTCAGGAACTGGACATATCTCGGGGATGAAACTTATCCCATGTGCGCTCCAGACTTTGATTTATATCTGTGCCAAATTTCAATAAGATATGTTGAACCGTTGCAGAATTATCGAGTAAACATTAAAAAATTAAATTAATGAATCCCACGGGAACTCTATAAGAGATAGCTGTTGCTCGCGACTTCGACTGTGTGAAATAAAAAAAAGAATATAGAATATTACTCACTAATAACGTAGCTTTTTAATAGTGTAAGAATTGAAATCAGCCCAGTAGTTTTTGAGTTATTTCAATACATACAAAAATATCATAATGTAAAACTTTCGTCTTTATAATATTAGTATAGAAAGAGACATCGATGTACAAAGTTCATTGACCAAACGTTATGGATGTTCATTCATAAGCGAAACGTATAAATAAATATAGAGTTTACTTTTTTATTGGAAAACTTTGTGGCAACCCTATAAATACAATCTGGATTGTAAAAACCAGTATTTACTAAAATGATCAAAACAATAATTTCATAAACAAGTACAGATAAGTTATAATCAATGTGTTACATTAAATAATGCGATGTTTACCTAATTAGTCATTAAAAATTGCACAGATAAGATTATAGACGATTACAAATAGATCAATTTGAAATTATTTCTTGGGCACGCTTTGTCGATGGTCATATGACGTCACCCGAAATTGACAGTTGACAACTGAGAAGAAGAATGCAGGACGCGGTTGCTGTTAGTGGGGTTACTGCGCAAACTTTTCGTGGATGAACCTATTTTATGTGATACTCTATACTTTGTTTTATATCTGTGCCAAAATTCAATTAAATATATCGAATAAATCGATTAATCGTTGCAGAATTATCAAGTAAACATGAGATAACAAAATTAATGTATCCCAAGGGAAACATATCTATTTCCGGGATCAAAAGTAGCCTATATGTTCTACACTACACTCTATGCGAAATTTCGTCGATAACTGTTCAGTCGTTTACACTACAAACTAACAGACATTTTATAATGTTAAAAATGAGATTAGTAAGATAGTCGAATCGATGAATGGACTTGTAAACTTGTAAAATCGCGTTTCGCGCCACGCTTGTCTTTTGGCGGGAGTGACGCGATGCGAAGGTGAAATCACGCGATGGCGCGTCACGCCATCGACCAATGGCGTGGCCGCGTTTTCTCGGACGTTCCTGTGCCCGCAAATTATGTTATTTGTACAGTCTATGAAGCTTACTTAAATTTTTAATAATAATTCGTTCGTATTTTAACATTCTTCAAAAAGAAGGATCTGAATTTGTATTGTAACCTTTAATTACATTGATTAATTATATTAATCTATGACATCTTTCTATTTGTAATCTTTGACAATTATTTTTTTCTATAGGTTAGTTTGTTTTGTTTATTGTAATTATTAAAATGTGAGTAATTAATTAGGATTTTCAATTGTTCGCTTTTTTTCTGTGATTGCCATAATTATATTATTTATTAAAATATTTCCCACGTTCTTATATAAAATCGTTTTTTACTTTATTTTAAATTCTGGAACAAGTTCTGAAGTTATCTCTTAAACATTCATTCATATAAACTTTGCATTTAATGTAATTTTAATCTTATTTCTTACTAATATCATAAATGCGAAAGTTCAGATGGATGTTTGCTAAAGTTTGTAGCGTAAACGGCTGTACGGATTCCGATGAAATTTGGCACAGACGTAGAGGATAGTCTGGAAGAACATATAGGGTTCACTTTTGTTTAAATTTTTATAAATCAAGCTGTTGGTCGCGACCACGTCCGCGTGAAATTATAAACATAGCCTACGTTACTCACTGATATCGTAGCTTTTTAAACGGTGAAAGATTTTTTGAAATCGGTCCAGTAGTTTTCGAATTATGTCAATAAGAACAAAAATACAAATCTTTTTTCTACATTAGTATAGATATGGAATATGATAAAATGTATATTTTATAAATGAAAAACAAGTACTTCAAACTATTTTATTTTTATTTCGTGATTTCTTATCTATGTTTTAAACGTACAAAGAAAAAAAATAGAATTCAATGGAAATGTGAATTCACATGTCACTGGCTGAAAATATCAATTATTGTCTATGGATTTATTTTTTAATATTTCAAACACGTAATAACAAATATCCATTCATCTTAACTTTCGCCTTTTTTGTCTAAAATTAGCTGTTACTCGCGACTTCGCCAGCGTAAAACCAAAAGTAAAGTAGCCTGTGTGTTCTTCAGACTATCCTCTATATCTATACCAAATTTCATCGAAATCCGTTCAGCCGTTTAGGCACAAACTAACAAACAACCATCCATCCATTTAAACTTTTTAGATAGGTTTGTTACTCTATTCCATTGAATTCGACACAAACTTTCGTATTCATAAAATATTTGTTTGTTTACAGGTAACACGAGCGGCTATAACACTGTCGACGCTGCCCACCCCACGCGAGCCGATCCGCGGTGATTTAAGATGGCGTCCAAAGCCATTTACGAAGCAACCGGCAAAGACCTTATAACCAGGTGAGAGGTGAATATCACCGAAAGGAAATAATTGACATAACCGTGGGCTTACACTGTCAAACACGAGAAAACAATTTTACTTCTAACTGATATTATAAATGCGAAAGTTTAGATGGATGGGTGGATGTTTGTTAGAGTTTGTAGCCTAAACTGCTGAATGGATCTTGATGAAATTTTGGATATAGAGCATAGTCTGGAAGAAATTATGGGCTACATATTTTAATGCCACGCGAACGGAATCACGGGCGAAAGCTAGTGATACATAAAATGGCAATGAAATTCGAGTGTAAGGTTTGCGATTTTGGAACATTTTTACAGACATCTAACCTTGTAGAGGCAACATCCTCCCCTCGGTAACGCCAAAGCTTTTAGTCACACGGGCGCTTATATTTTGCATGTAAAAAATAAATTAGAATTAAGAATGAATGTGGATGACTATAAAGGTAGAGGAAGACCAACTATTGACGTATTGTGTGAAAGATATGCTTAACGGAGTGAATTCAGATATGACGGCTGATAGAGATGGTAGAGCAGTGCCGACCATGGGACAAGGGCAAGATGAATGTTGTCGTCTACCCTATACTACGAGGATTATTCCCAACCGTCGCCCCACTCTGTCCCCACGTGCAGACAGATGAGAATATAAAGTTTTATCCGTCCCACCCTTTGCGACGAGGAGACGGTAGGAACTTATTTTCTTTCTTAACGCTTCCATCTGTCACAATATTGGTGATGGTGGGACTAAAAGGTGGGACGGATGAAACATATTCTCATCTGTCCTCAACCCACTACGGCATTTCCGATGATGTAAATGTTAAAAAATTTGCATCATTATTTATATCCCAAGCGATATCGCTTTTCTTGTCAAAGATTACATCGTTGGTTTAATCAACCGGAAGAAAATAAATATTACAATTTTTATCGCTATATATAAGCAAAGTCCCGCTGTCTGTCGTTATGTACGCTTAGATCTTTTCAACTAAGCCATGGGCTTTGATGCAGTTTTAATAGAGTGATTCCAGAGGAAGGTTTATCATACTAATATTATAAATGCGAAAGTTTAGATGGATGCATGGAAGATGGATAAACGGCTGTACGGATTTCTATGAAATTTGGCCCATATTTACTTTTGTTTTTTCCAATTACACGCGGGCGAAGCGCAGGCGAAAGCCAGTTTGTATAATATAGTAAAGAAATACTGATAGTTTGAGGGTTGTCGAATGTTATGTCATTTTCGTATCAACATTAGACACGTGCGAATCCGGGGCAGGTCGTTAGTGAGTAGTGAGTCATATAATATCTTTGATAAAACGTATGACGCCTATATTAATGCAGGCTACACACGTTAGGTTTAATAATTATAAAATTTGCACCAACAGTTTCTTAGTACTGCACAGTTAATAAATGTAACATATGATATATGATAATACTAGCTTTCGCCCGCGACTCCGTCCGCGTAGAATTAAAAAACTGAGTAGCTTATGTTTTCTTCCAGACTATCCTCTACGTTTATGTCAAATTTCATCGAAATCCGTTCAGCCGTTTAAGCTAGTAATTCTAACAAACGTCCATCCATCCATCCATCTATCCATCCATCCATTAGTATGATATGATTTTATGTATTATATATGATTTTTAATATATTCCAGGCATATAGGGTCTGGTACAGCATTAGTACCATGTCGGTTCGCTGTCTTCGAGGAGGGCACCGTCTGGGAGGACGAGATCGGGAAGAACCCGTGGCTCACCAAAGAGGTATAGTTAAAGAAATAAATTCGCTACCCACTTGATTCAATACCAAATTGTTATCATAAGAGATTTAGTCTATGTTGTTATGGCAAGTAAATACTAGTTGTTCCCGTGCGGATTTATCCGCATATCGTAAAAACTTTGTTATTGTTTATTTTTATGTATCTTTCAATTGCAAATGTTAAAATTCAAATACACAGATTATAACGAAGGCTGTTGATATTGGCTAACAATTGCCGTTACCATGGTAACCTTGCTTCTTATCTGCTTTGACTTGTAGGTTTTGTCTCTTTCTCGCATGACAATTTTTTTAAATTGAGTCACTTGTTATGTAACATAGTGTGAAAATATGTAGCCTATAGCGTGTCGTAACTGTAGTGGTTTTTATTAAAATAAGAATTATTCAAAAATATGCTGTGATTGCTGACATCCTGTATAACAAAGTTTACATTTTACAATATTAGTATGGACTAGCTATTACTAGCACCTTTCTCCGCGTGAAATAAAAACATAGCCTATATCACTCAGTGATAACGTAGCTTAAAATGATGTAAGTAGTTTTTTAAATCGGCCCAGTTTTTGAGTTATTTCAATACATATAAAGATTTCCTTTTTGTAATATTAGTATGTACTAGCTGTTCCCGTGCGACTTTATCCGCATGAAATTATGAAAGTTTCATTTTATTGTTTACATGTGTCAAATTATCAATTACTAATGTCAAAATGACATGACATGATGACAACCTTGCTTTCTTGATGTTGGCAGCAACTTGGTCTCTTTCCCACATTAGGGTTTTTATCCAAAATATTTACCCCCTAAGTTTAATGGTGTTAAAATATATAGCCTAAAGCGTGGAGCAAGTGTAAGGCTTTTTATTAAAAAAATAATTATTCAAAAATATGCTGTAATTGCTGACATCTTAGGCAACAAAGATGTGTGTGTTTACGCTTTATTATAATAATAAGATATACAGATATTGACTCTTAATGTTTGTTTTCCAGTCGCTGGTAGTGAAGCCGGACCAGCTGATCAAGCGGCGCGGCAAGCTGGGTCTAGTCGGTGTGAACAAGACAGCGGCTGACGTGCGCCGCTGGCTTGCGGACCACACTGGCAAGGAACAGCAAGTCGGTGCCGCTCTTGGAAAGTTACGACGCTTCGTCGTCGAGCCTTTTGTCAAACATGACGCTGTAAGTGAATTACTACACCCAAAGACATAAGAAATATAGAGTAGACATATTGAACATTTTTTCACCGGTAACTTCTTTGAAAGGTAATATGTTATCAAGTTTAGTGCCACCTAGTGTTCTTGTATTGTAAAATTTTACAAAATCATAATAGGCTCCATCTTTTGTTTATAAAATAAACTAAACACTGTCGACATGTAATTTAGTGCCATCTATTGGCAAATCTACTAACTAAAACAGCTTAAGTTTAATTAGTCACCCAAAAACGTGGTAGAGACTTCGTGTAATGAAATTAAAAAATATTAAAAAACTATATTACTCGCAGATAAATTACCTTTCAAATGGTGAAAGAATTATTAAAATCGGCCCAGTAGTTTTTGAGTTATTTCAATTCATACAAAAATACAAATCTTTCCTCTTTATAATATTAGTATACTAGCTGTTACTCGCGACTTCGTCCGATGAAATTAAAAAATGCAACATACGCTACTCGCAGATATATTACCTTTCTAATGGTAAAAGAATTATAAAAATCGGTCCAGTAGTTTTTGAGTTATTTCAATACATACAAAAATACAAATCTTTCCTCTTTATATTATAGATGATCCTTGTATACCCAAACTATGCTTAGATGTCATAACGGTGTCATTAAATGTGTTACTGTCTTCTAGAACGAGGAGATGTACCTCTGCATCCAGTCAGGTCGTCGCTCTGACACCATTCTGTTCCATCATCAAGGAGGTGTTGATGTCGGCGATGTGGATGCCCTGGCTCTTAGACTGGAGGTAATATATTAACAATTATATAGCAAAAACTTATATACAAGTCGAATTTAATTCAAGTTAGTATTTTTTTTGTTTTTACAATGTTTTTTCTACATGTATGACAAATTTCATCAAGAACTAATACAGTAGAACCTCGATAAGTTAAAGTCCGCGGGAAACACAAAATATTTTAAGTTATAGAGGGTTTAAGTTATCAAGGGTCCATGTTGTAGAGGTTTTGGACTCTGATGGGAAGGGAACATATAATTTTTTAAAGTTATAGAGGTTTTAAGTTATCAAGGGTCTATGTTGTAGAGGTTTTGGACTCTGATGGGAAGGGAACATATAATTTTTTGAAGTTATAGAGGTTTTAAGTTATCAAGGGTCCATGTTGTAGAGGTTTTGTGCTCTGATGGGAAGGGAACATATTATTTTTTGAAGTTATGAAGGTTTTAAGTTATCAAGGGTCCATGTTGTAGAGGTTTTGGGCTCTGATGGGAAGGGAACATATTATTTTTTGAAGTTATGAAGGTTTTAAGTTATCAAGGGTCTTTTGTAGAGGTTTTGGACTCTGATGGGAAGGGAACATATAATTTTTTGAAGTTATAGAGGTTTTAAGTTATCAAGAGTCTATGTTGTAGAGGTTTTGGGCTCTGATGGGAAGGGAACATATAATTTTTTGAAGTTATAGAGGTTTTTAAGTTACCGAGGTTTGGATTATCGAGGTTAAACTTATCAAGGTTCTACTGTATAAGTATAGATTAGTAGTTAACTTTGCAAACTTAGATCTTAATATTAAACTGATTTTTAGTAAGTTGTAAGTTTATTTTTATATATTATACATTTCAGGTTCCAGTAGATACGTTCCCCAGCGGAGAGGATGTCGACACACATCTTCTAAAGAATGTTAAATCAACTTCTGTCAGAAGGTAATTGGAAATTTTACTTATATTAATAACTAGTTGTTGCCCGCGACTTCGTCCGCGTGGAAATTGAAAGTTCAAAATTTACGTTCGACCTTTTTTTTAACCTATTATCTAAAGTATTAACTTAGTAATCTAAGTAATAACAGAAATCTGCTTTTGAAGTTTGAAAGCTCATTTTTTTGTTCGCGATATCTTCTAAACTATTAGTCCAATTTAAATACTGTAAAGGACAATTTTATTCTACATTAAATTCTCCTGATAACAAACGCATTTATTTGGATAAGGATTAATGTTGAAACCAATAAAAGAACGCCGCAAATAGCGTGCGGTTTTAAATTCATTTTGTAAACAATAAAGTGGTTATTGGAAGAAAACCGTTTAAGATAGATATATGCTATCGCGGACTTTTCTGTAGAACCTTTTTAGATCAACAATTCTTTCATATATAATTTTATATGCATCTAACGCTGTTTATTAATAGTTCCTCAACATTAGTAATAAAAAAATATAGCCTATGTTACTCACAGATAAATTACCTTTTTAATGGTGAAAGAATTTTTAAAATCGGCCCAGTAGTTTTTGCGTGAATCAAATACATAAAAATACTTTCTTTTTTTATAATATTACTATAGACTAGCTGTTGCTCGCGTAGTCCACGTTAAATTTAAAAATATGGCCGATGTTACTCAGCGATAAGTACCTTTTTAAAGGTGAAAGTATATTTAAAATCAGCCCAGTAATTATTACGTAACTCAAATATATACAAAAATACTAACTAGTATAGATATTGACGACAGAGCGTCGGTGGCTCAGTGGTTTAAGCACTTGACTTGTAATCTACAGGTCTTGGGTTCGAATCCCGCCATATACCAATGTGATTTTCAATTTTTCGAATTTTCATATGTACATAATTTACCCGACGTTCTTACGGTGAAGGAAAACATCGTGATCTGCACATATCGGCGAAGAAATTCAAAGATATGTGTGAAGTCAACCCGCACTTGGCCAGCGTGGTTGACTATGGCCTAGTCACCCTGACTTTAGGGTAGGCTCCGAGCCCCTCGGTGGGGACGTATAGTGAGCTGGTGATGATGATAGATATTGACATAATATTTATTTTTGTTTCAGGATAATAACCACTTTCATACTATCTCTTTACAAAGTATACGTAGATTTGCACTTCACGTATATGGAAATCAATCCTATCGTGGTGACAGGCGACAGGATATATTTACTAGATCTAGCCGCTAAGCTAGACCAGACGGCGGACTTCATCTGCGCCAAGCACTGGGGGGAGGTGGCCTTCCCTCCCCCCTTCGGCAGGGACGCCTACCCCGAGGAGGCGCATATCGCAGACTTGGACGCTAAGAGTGGAGCCAGCTTAAAGGTATGTTAAGAAGTAATTAAAAAAAAAACAATTTTAGTACTTAAGTAACAATTTTTTTAATTTAAAAATATTTTTTTTAGATTTTGAAAAAATATTTTTTTAAATATTTAGTATGAAAATTACAATTGATTGGTTCTTTTTATAAGAAAAACAAACGAAAGACGAAACTTTTAATTTTGGTTTAAAAAAAATTACAGTTTTCTCAAAGTTAGAGAAAGAAAACGTTCAATGATTCTTTTTATTTTGTTCTCGCGTGAGTTATTCCAAAAAAGGGATAACGGTACGAAAGAGCAATTATTTGTCTTGGTCAAGGAAACAAATTACCAATGTAAATACATTATTTTGGACGTATGCGTTATGTAGAATTTGACCCACTTATCACCCTCGGTGTCCACCGATGACCGAACAGACTGTCACTTGAGGATGTCCATCCTCAAGTGACAGTCTGTTCTGGGATCCAAGGAACACACTGGAAGGTTGGCTTTTTTATAATATAAGTTGGCAAACTCGCAAGCGGCCACCTGAATCCACCGAAATGGAAAGCGACCGCTGCACATAGACAGCCGCAATTGCAGCGTTGCCTACCCTTCATTGACGGAGGAGACGCACATAAAGAGGACATTTCCCCTTCCTATGCGTCTCCACCGTCAAATCTACTTTTCCTTCCCATCCTTTCTTTTTAAGAAAAGGGTGGAAACGGAAAGGGACTAAAGTTAGGCCTCCGGCACCACATTTATCAGACTGTACGCGGAATTGCTTCCACTTCACGCCTGTTTTCTGTGTGGTCGTGGTATTGGTGGGCGAGCCGACCCTGCAGTGCGAAGATGTTAAAGCGGGCTCTACCACTGTTAAAATATGACTTTATTAGAGTATGTGCCCCCTCGGAGGAGACATATATCTCCAGCGGGAGAGCATACTCTCGAGGGGAGCGAGGGGGAGCATTCAATGTACATAGTAATGGAGCATTTTACAGTGGTAGAGCCCGCTTTAATATCTTTGCACGAAGGGGTCGACTCGCCCCCAACAATACCACGACCACACAAACAGGCGTGAAGTGTAAGCAATTCGGCGTACAGTCTGATGAATGTGGTGTCGAAGGTCCAATTTTTAGTCCCTTTTCCTTTTCACCCTGTTCTTAAGAGGAAAGGTTAGAAAGGAAAAGTGGATTTATCGGTGTAGGAGACGCATAGGAAGGGGAAATATCCTCTTTATGTGCATCTCCTCCGTCAATGAAGAGTAGGCAACGCTGCAATTGCGGATGTTTATGTGCAGCGGTTGTTCCATTTCGGTGGATTCATGCCGCTTGCGAGTTTGCCATCTTATAAATAAAAAATGGGGATGGGGAGCAGAAGAGTTAGAATACTAAAAATGTGTTTTAAATCTGTTTTCCGATATAGCTGACGGTGTTGAACAAATCCGGGCGCGTGTGGACGATGGTGGCGGGCGGCGGCGCGTCGGTGGCGTACAGCGACACGGTGTGCGCGCTGGGCGGCGCGGCCGAGCTCGCCAACTACGGGGAGTACTCGGGCGCGCCCACGGAGGCGCAGACCGCGGACTACGCGAGGACCATATTCAGCCTCATGTGTAGGGAGAAACATCCCGACGGCAAGGTATGTCGAAAATAAATACATTTTTTGTGGCTATTGTTATTTTTTATACAAAAAAATATACAATCTTTTAGAAAAATAAAGTCGACAAACTGCAGTGAAATTTGTTGGCGACAGACACTACTTTCTCATATATTACTTTATGGATGGATGTTTGTAAGAGTTTGTAGCCTAAACGGATGAACGGATTTCTATGAAATTTGGTGTATGTAGAGGATAGTTTAGAAGAACACATAAGCTACCCACTTTTGTTTTTATAATATCACGCGGATGGAGTCGCGGGAAAAGCTTATCTATACTTCTTTACTATTATAATAAAACGTAAATACACTCTTCTTTGTTGCCTAAGATGTCAGCAATTACAACCATATTTTTTTAATAAAGAGCCCTACACTTACGTTATGCTTTAGGCTATATATTTTAACGACATTAAACTTAAGGGGTAAATATTTTGGATGAAAACCTTAATGTGGGAAAGAGACCATAAGTTGCTGCCAACATCAAGGAAGCAAGGTTGTCATCATGTCATGTCATTTTGACATTTGTAATTTGACAACTGAAAACAGTAAAATAAAATTTTCATTATTTTATGCGGATCAAGTCGCTTGGGAACAGCTAGTTTATTTACACAAGAAAATATACAATGTTTCATTAAAAAAAATAGACAAACTGCACAGCAGTGTGGCTTGATTCCATCCTATTTAAGTGATTTTTTGAATTTCAAAATTAAAAATTATCCCATAGTTTTTGAGTTAAAATGTACCAAAATTCATGAATTTTACCCAGGTGCTGATCATAGGCGGTGGCATCGCCAACTTCACGAACGTGGCGGACACCTTCCGCGGCATCATCAGCGCCATCGAGACATACAAGGACGCGCTGCTGCAGTACAACGTCACCATCTTTGTGCGCAGGGGTGGACCTAATTACCAGGAGGGGCTACGGTAAGTGTATTAATTACCCCCCCCCCCCTTTTTGTATAGGTAATCGAGTCATCATAATAAGATAGCTTCCGAAGCAGTGAGGTTATAGGGAATAATATCAGAATACAAAGAGATGGTTGGAGAATTGATGCAGGAGAAATTTGTTTAAAATCTCTTTATCTTGTCTTAATAATTCCCCCCCCTTTTTGTATGAGGAAAAGTGTCAGAATAGAATGAGATAGGTGGAGGAGGGATACGGGGGATATTACCTTTGAAAGGTCTTCATCTTATCTTACTCTGTCCACCCTTTTTTGTGCAAGAAATAGAGTGAAAACACACTAAGATGGTTGTAGAAGGGGTGCGGGGGAGGGAGGGTACATCTAGAATAACTTTATCTTGTTTTACTATGTCCTTTTGTATGGAGGATAGACTCTAAACTTGCAGCTTTCTTGTGATTTCATATTATTTTCGACGCCTATGTAAGTTCTGTAAGTAATAATTAACGCTACGGGTCAGTTAAACCAGTGGGACTATAAATAAGATTGTTTTTTAGGCAAATGCGTGAAGTGGGCCAGCGCCTACGTATACCGCTGTACGTGTTTGGACCTGAGAGCAATATGACAGCGATCGTGGGCCTGGCGCTGGGACACTCGCCTATACCGCAGGAACACCAGCTAGATTACGCGCCTAAACAATTACCTAAACCAAAACCTGTGGTATGTAACTCTCCGATTTAGCAATATTATAAATGTGAAGATGGATGGATGGATGGATGGATGGATGGATGGATGGATGGATGGATGGATGGATGGATGGATGGAGGGATGGATGGATGGATGGATGGATGGATGGATGGATGGATGGATGGATGGATGGATGGATGGATGGATGGATTTGGGTTGATGGGCGGATGGATGTGGATGTATGGATGTATGGATGGATGGATGTTTGTTAGAATTTGTAGCCTAAACTGCTGAACGGATCTCGATGATTGTCATAGATGTAGAGGATAGTTTGGAAGAACACATAGGCTACGCACTTTTGTTTTTTTTTTATTTCACGCGGACGGAGTCGCGGGCGAAAGCTAGTAGATTATATACTAGTAAGAGCCCGCGGCTTTGTCAGCGTGGAATAAAAAAAGTGTTAAAAAATATAGCCTATGTTACTCAGTGATAACGTAGCTTTCTAATGGTGAAAGAATTTTCTAAATCTGTCAAGTAGTTTTTGAGTTAATTCAATACATACAACATACATATTTCTTTTTATTGGTACTAGCTATCGCCCGCGACTCTATCCGTGTGAAATTAAAAAAAATAACTAAGTAGCCTATCTGTTCTTCCAGACTATCATCTACATCTATACCAATTTTCATGAAGATCCGTTCAGCCGTTTAGGCTACAAACTCTAACAAACATCCATCCATTTAAAATTCACATTTATAATATTAGTAAGATTAATAAAAAGTTTTTTTACAGCCTGCGCCTAAATTGGATCTACCAGTGTTGACCCCAGCGCTGTTGGACCTAGTCTGCTCGCAGGCGCCTACGCGGATGGACCTAGGACAGCCGCTGAGTACTGCACGGCCACTCTTAACTGACAGGACTAAAGCTATCATCTGGGGAATGCAGAATAGAGCTATACAGGTACAGTGGTAGAGCCCGCTTTAACATCTTCGCACTGCAGGGCTCGCCTCCAACAATACCACGACCACACAGACAGGCGTGAAGTGGAAGCAATTCCGCGTGCAGTCTGATGAGTGGTGTCGGAAGCATAATTCTAGTCCCTTTCCCTTTCCACCCTTTTCTTAAGAGGAATGGATGGAAAGGAAAAGTGGACTTGACGGTGAAGACGCATAGGAAGGGGAAATGTACTCTTTATGTGCGTCTCCTTCAATCAATGAAGGGTAGGCAGCGCTGCAATTGCAGATGTCTATTTGCAGCGGTCTGTTTCCATTTCGGTGAATTCAGGTGGCCGCTTCCGAGTTTGCCACCTTATATTATAAAAAAAAACTGGGGGAAAAGGGAGGGGTACTAGGTTCCCAAACTTATTTTTTGTCAAGTAGGAGCCTGTATTAGGTGGTGATTAGGGCTTAGTTAACTGCATTCATACTATTCGGGTTAATTATATAATGAAATTCTATAATCACATTAATATCCGGGATTCGAACTCAAAACCTGTACGTTACAAGTCAAGTGCTCAAACCACTGAGACACCGATTCTTTCATATAATACCCACTTTAAAAGTTTTGTAGCCACTTTTTTTTCTTAAAAACCTCAATAACGTATCAATCTTGACGTGTATTTAGGAGAAAAACACTTTTTTTATTTTAAAATTTACTTTCCTGTACTCTGTGTATTCCTCATAAAAACGTTGGGAAGGGGACATTATGGGAATAAAGATTTTTTTTTGTTCTAGGGCATGTTGGACTTTGACTATATCTGTAGGCGCGCGGAGCCTTCCGTTGTAGCCATCGTGTACCCTTTCACTGTGGACCACAAACAGAAGTATTATTTCGGAAATAAAGAAGTTTTTATACCTGGTGAGTAGAGATAGCTTTTTAAACGAGTAAACGGTTACCTGAATTCGCCGAATTGGCGAAACAGCTGCCTATAGACATCCAGAGGCCTAATTTTAGTCCCTTCCCCTTTCCACCTTTTTCTTTAGAGAGAAGGATGGGAAGGAAAAATGGATTTGACGGTGGAGACGCATAGGAAGGGGAAATGTCCTCTTTATCTGCGTCTCCTCCGTCAATAAAGGGTAGGCAACGCATCTGCAATAGGGAATATGCATGTATTTTTTCTGAAACGATTCTACTTGTTATAAAATAACCAGAAAAAAAAATTGACACGAAAATATTCAACCATTGAGCTAAAATGAATAAAATAAAATTACGACCATTTTCGTGCGACTAAAATGCGACCGGAGTTGTCGTGAGACAATTGACGTCAATCGTCATATTCCATTCATAACATACGCTCAGATGTCACTTCGATGTAAAAAAACCACAAAGTATCTTATTGCTTCTCAAGGTCAAAAAGTCAAAAATCGATTCATTTTTATTATTCCTGGTACAAATAAGTGGTAATTAATAATTCTGTTCATTAATTTTTTTATTTGAAAGTTTTAATATCGTGTTTAGGAGGGATATAGTCTATTTTTAATCTTTACTATTATAATAAAGCGTAAACACACACTTCTTTGTTGCCTAAGATGTCAGCAATTACACCATATTTTGAATAATTCTTTCTTTAATAAAAAGCCCTACACTTACGTCACGCTTTAGGCTATATATTTTCACGCCATTAAACTTAAGGGGTAAATATTGTGGATAAAAACCCTAATGTGGACCATAAGTTTCTGCCCACATCAAGGAAGCGAGATTGCTAATGTCATGTCATTTTGACATTTGCTATTGAAAACAATAATAATAAACAGTAAATATTTATAATTTCAGACGGATGAAGCCGCATGGGAACAGCTAGTATAATAATATTTAATATGTGTCTGTTCGCAGTTTTCTCTGATATGGACGTGGCGATGCGTAAACACCAGGAAGCGACAGTACTCGTCACTTTTGCGTCTCTCCGCTCCGCTTATGACAGCACTATACAGGTATGTCATTTTACTCGAAATTCTTTATCTTCGAAAGGGACAAACTATAAGCCAATACAGAACGAATAAAGATTGCCAATAACCTAAATTTTTTAATTAATATGGTACCTAATTTAAAAAAAAAACTTTCGTCAACAATAACAGGAAGAGTTACTAACGCTATCTATTTCCTGTTTCTACATTTTTTATAATATGAGGTGGCAAACGAGCAAGCAGCCACCTAAATACGGCAAAATGGCGAAGCGATCGCTGCCCATAGATATTCGCAATAGCGGTGGCGTTGCCTACCCTTGATTGGACATGAAGAGGATATTTCCCCTTCCTATACATCTGCACCGTCAAATCCGCGTTCTCTGTTCATCATTTTCGTATAAGAAAAAGAGCGGGAAGGAAAAGGGTTGAAAGTTTGTCTTCAAAAGGGGCAAAAACTACAAGCCAATACGGGCAAAGAATCAAGATCATAACCTAAATTCTAAATAAAATAATTACCTTTTGTATGTGTTGACAATTTACACCTTATTTCAAAAATAATACAATCACAGAAAGAGTCACTGACGCCATCTACTTCCTGCTTCTCTCATTCTCTCTCTCTCTCTCTCTCTCTCTCTCATTATATCTCATTATATCTCATTATATCTCTCTCTCATATCTCATTGATAATATTTTTTTTTGTTTTCCAATAAATATCCTTTTTATCTTCCCCAGGCGATGCAGCATCCACAAATTAACACAATAGTGATAATAGCTGAAGGCATTCCAGAGAATATGACTAGAAAATTAATCAAAGTGGCTGACCAAAGAGGGGTAAGTACATGCTGTCGATAGATGGCGTTGTTATAAAAGCGGTCGACAGCAGTTAGCGTGGAATTAAAAAATTAGTTTATAATATGCCCCTTTCATGTCTGCTAGCTTCTAGTAAAAGTTCCGACAATTTCTATTCTGAGATATCTTAGAACAAACGCTACTTACCGATTAACAGATAAATAAATGGTTTTAAATGTGATTTTAGTTATATACAAGGCAAATACATAATCTTCGCGACAGATGGAATTTTCTATTGATATTACATACAATTGGTCGATAAGTAGCGTCGTCTTAGTAGTAATAATTCTCATATCTCTATTTTCTTATTTTTATATATAATATGTTTCACATGATTTTCTTTAAAAAAAAAATAACAAAATAAAACATATTATATAAGAAAATAGAAGTCCACCCGCTGCGGAATCCGATGACTCAATAAACAAATATCGACAAATTTAGTAGTAATAACTATTAAATTTGTCGATAGATGGAGCTTTTATAAATATATAGAAATTGCAAAGATTTTTATAGAATCTTCAAAACATAATAACTTGGTTTTATTGATAAATTACGCTTTTTTAAATTTAAAGAAAATACACAGATTTTTGTAGAATCATCGAAATAATAACATGGATCTGTCCATAGATGGCGCTATTAACAAGTACTTTATCTCTTTTTGGATAAAAATTAGCGAAAAAAATGTTTCAGGTGACAATAATAGGTCCAGCGACAGTGGGAGGCATCAAGCCAGGATGTTTCAAGATCGGCAACACTGCTGGAATGATTGACAACATCATTGACAGCAAGCTGTACCGTCCTGGAAGGTAATTTAATAATCGTCACATTTAATGGCCGGTTTCCAAGCTTCGTTTAAACATTCGTTAGTTTATTGCTCCGATAAATGCATGAAATGCGTTTCCGAACTACGTCACCTGAGTTTTACTCCCTTGAAACGTAGCTCAATCTAACGCCAACTAAATAAAAATAAGTGGGAACTTTAGAAACCTAGTATAAGTAATATATAGACGAGACAGTGAACAAAATGTTATCACCGGTACTTTCTCTGAAAGGTCTCTCTATATCAGTTGTTGTTTAGTGCTACCTCTGTCTGTATTGACATAATAAAACATACAAAATTATAATAAGCACCTTTTGTTGTAAAATAAACTTGAAGTCTTTCGACTAACATCAGGTAATATTGGGTGATTTATGACATTTTCTTGTAGGCGTGGTACTTAGGTATTTCAACAAATTAGTTGTCTTGATAGTTGGTGTAGTCGTAATCCTCAATATCACAATTCATATTTCCACTAAATAATTATAGATCGTAACGATATGTTTCGATTAAGATATTGAATTGACGTCCACCGAACACATGGTCGCGCGCGCACTCCATATCGACTCAAATCGAACTGACTCGAATGACAAAATGGCCGCCTTACCAGTGCTCGGTGTTCGCCATGGGCATAGAGTAAGCCTACAAACTCATCAATGTTAAAAATAAACATTTAAATATTAAACTGCAATTAATTTAAATATATTGATATGTGGTTCTGGGGATATATTAATAGATGGCGTTAGTAAGATGTGAAAATTGTTTCAAGTGATTTGTCAACTACTCGTTTGTATTGAATCTCTTTGGGGTAACTTTTATTGTAAACTAGCTTTTACCTGCGACTACCTCCGAGTGGAATTAAAAAAAACAAAAGCCTATGTGTTCTTCCGGGCTATCCATCAAATTTCATCGAAATCCGTTCAGCCGTTTAGGCTACAAACTCTAACAAACATCTAACTAAACTTTCGCATTTATAATATTAGTTAGATTAACTTGTTAAATATTTATTTTCCAGCGTGGCGTATGTATCGCGATCTGGTGGAATGAGCAACGAGCTGAACAACATCCTCTCCAAGGAGGCGGACGGCGTCTGCGAAGGTGTGGCCATCGGAGGTGACAGATACCCCGGCACCACCTTCCTTGATCACCTCCTTAGGTAAACCTTTCAATATATGGCATAAACGATTTTACAGAAATAAAATAACGTTACCATTAACCGACATTGGTAGTAAAAGTAATAATTTATTGTTGAAAAAATATTATTGGTCAATTGCAATAAATGTGTAATAATATTTTCCTTATATAAGCTGCGTCCGCATGACAATATATAAAAAAACATTGTTTACATTTAAAACTTTCAATTACAAATGTCAAAATTTAAATGCACAAATGACAACGAAGGATTTTGACATTGGATAACAATTGCCATCACCATGGCAACCTTGCTTTGCTGCTATAGGCTTGTTTTTGTCCCTTTCCCGCATGACTTTTTTCAAATAATTTACTGCCTAAGTTGAATAGTGTGAAAATATGCAGCCTAAAGCATGTCGTTAGTGTAGGGCTTTTTATTAAAGATCGAATTATTCAAAAATGTGCTGTAATTGCTGACATCTTACATTACAAAGTTTGTGTTTATGCTATATCTAAGCACTAACTTTTGTCCGCGATTCCGTTGGTGTCGAATTAAAAAACATAGAAATTAGTAGCCTGAGTTCCAAACTATACATATATGACAATTGGAGATACATTCAGCAGTTTAGGCTACAAACTCTAATAAACATCCATCCATCTAAACTATCGCATATATAATATTAGTGAAATAGAAGTATAGATTGCGGACTATAAAATACCTATTTTTTCATTTAAGTATAAAAAATGAACCGTGTATTTCAGGTTTGAAGCGGACCCCAACGTGAAGATGCTGGTGGTGCTGGGCGAGGTGGGCGGCGTGGAGGAGTACCACATCTGCCGCGCCATCCGCGACAAGCTGATTACCAAGCCCATGGTGGCCTGGTGCATCGGCACCTGCTCAGGTCTGCAGCATCAGCTATCTCCAGTTAACTCAGAGTCTACCCTTAGTTTAAACAAAAACTTTGAATTTCTTAACAGATTGCAGATAATGTGATGTTTTCCTTAAAGACATTTAAGATATATATTGAGTAGACGTTATGAACATTTTTTCAGTGGTAACTTCTTTGAAAATTAGTTGTCAAGTTTAGTACCGCTTCATGTATTGACATGTTATAAAACATTTTATAAAATTATGATAAACTGCTTTATCAGATAGCAGCAACCGATCAAGTCGAGGTTCGGCCCTCTCGGGCGCCCTTAAATCGGAATGCTAAACGCGTATTGAATGACAGCCCAAGCCGAGGTCCCCTCTCGGGGGCCCTTGTGCCTAGTCACTCCATGGAGCGACCACCGAAGCGATCTAAGAGCTCGGTGGCCTCACAATCCGGTAATAATAAAGAAGTAACGGCTCGTGCCGAGGCTCCTGAGGGATCCCTCGAGCTTAGTTACTCATAAACGAGGTTTAGACTAAGCTCCATCTGCGCTCGACCTCAAGGCTGATGAATCTATAAATGCCTCTTCAAGGCAAACAGTGGCCATTTAGTCACAAAAAAAATTATGATAAGCTGCATCTTTTGTTTTATAATAAATATAAACATCTAAATATTATTTTATGACACCTATTGGTAATTAATTTCAATACAATTAGATATATTGACATGTGGTTTTGAGGATCTATCAATAGATGGCGTTAGTAGATCTTGTGAAAAATGTGTTACTTTGGAATATTTCCTTTAACTCATCTATTATATATGTTGTTTTTTCCTCGTGCATTATACAGTCGTATAAGAAAACTTGTCACTACTATTTAAACATGAGAAAATAAATATTTTTCTAATTTTCAGATATGTTCTCATCAGAAGTACAGTTCGGGCACGCGGGTTCTCTCGCCGGCTCCACTTTAGAGAAGGCGGCCGCTAAGAATGCTGCTTTAAAGACATTCGGTGTTACTGTACCGGATTCTTTCGATAGTTTGGGCAAGGCGATGCACCAGGTGTACCAGAAGCTGGTGGACCAGGGCAAGATCATCGTTAAGGAGGAGGTGGAACCACCTAAAGTTCCTATGGATTACGATTGGGCAAGGGTAAGTGATAAGTAAAGAACTATCCGACTCGAAGGACCATATGTTTAAGTTTAAACATTTACTTAGAATTATAGTAACATATGTTGCTTAATATGACATTGACAAAATATGACAATATTCACTATGAAATAATAAATTATTTGTTTTTTATTTTCCTTTGTTTTATACTTGCTGTTTCTTGCGATTTATTAAAAAATAAATCCTATGTTACTTAATCATAACACATCTTTTTATGAGTGAATGAATTTTTGTAATCGGCCCAGTTTTTTTGGGTTGAGATTTAAAGGCCTTCGTTGTCAGTTGTACAAATGAATTTTGACATCTAACAAGTAACCTATAAAATAAAGTTTTTATAATTTCACCAGGATGAATCCGCACACGATCAACTAGTATATGTTATGTATGTATGTATGTACAGAAGCTGGGTATAATCCGCAAGCCGGCGGCGTTCATCAGCACGATCTGCGACGAGCGCGGCCAGGAGCTGTCGTACTGCGGCGTGCCCATCAGCCAGGTGCTGGCGCGCGGCCTCGGCGTCGGCGGCACCGTCAGCCTGCTCTGGTACGACACACACACACATAAATCTGTTTTTATTTGTTTTACGAGCGAAAACGAAATTTAAAAAAGTGGGCTGCAAATTGAGGGTCTATGTCAGCTACCCTTCAGTGAAAGACCGGTCGAAATCGGCCCTGCCAGTTTGAGCGAATCTTGTGACGAGTTTGTTTGGAGCTTGAGATAAGTTTGAGTAGAGCGTGTGACAAGTTTTAGTGGAGCGTTTGACAAGTCTGAGTGCAGCGTGGGACAAGTTTTAGTGGAGCGTGTGACATGTCAGAGTGGAGAGTGTGACAAGTTTGAGTGGAGTGTGTGACAAGATTGCGTCTAGCGTGTGACAAGTTAGAGTGTATCGTGCGACAAGTTTGTATGGAGCTTGTGATAAGTCTGAGTGGAGCGTATGACAAGTTTGAGTGAAGCGTGTGACAAGTTTGAGTGGAGCGTGTGACAAGATTGCGTTTAGCGTGTGGCAAGATTGAGTGAAGCGTGTGACAAGTTTTTCCTGACGTGGTCCTTATCTTTCCTTTGTCTGCAGGTTCCAGCGCGAGCTGCCGCCGTGGGCGTGTCGGTTCATCGAGCTGGTGGTCATCGTGACCGCGGACCACGGGCCTGCGGTGTCGGGCGCTCACAACACGATGGTGACGGCGCGCGCCGGCAAGGACCTCATCTCCTCAGTCGTCAGCGGAATGCTCACTATTGTTAGTTCCCTTTGTAAAATTACCCATTTTAAATTAATCCATCTATATCTATACTAATATTATAAAGAGGAAAGATTTGTATTTTTGTATATATTGAAATAACTCAAAAACTAATGGAACTATTTTAAAAATTCTTTCACCGTTAGGAAGTAGAATATAAGTAATATTACGCGTGCGAAGTCGCGAGCAACAGTTAGTAATATAGTAAAGCGTAGACAGTACTTTGTGACGTAGGATGTCAATCATAGTAATAATAATAATCATTTAATCTATTCAAAACATTACAACCCTTACAAGGACTAGAAAAATATACAAAAAAAAATATACCAGTGACAATTAAAACTAAGTACACACAAAAAGTTAAATATATGACAGCAAAATATGAATAACGAGTAAATTCAATTATAAGTAGCATATTTTAGCATATTTTCGAATATTTTTTTCTTTAATAAAAAGCCTCAACAGTTACGTCACGTTAGGCTACACACGCTATTAAACTTAGGGGGTAAATATATTTGATAAAAACTAATGTGGGAAAGAGATCATAAGTTGCTGCCAACATCAAGGAAGTAAGATTGCCATTGTCTGTCATTTTGTCATTTGCAATTGATAATTTGACAAATATAAACAATAAAATAAAGTTTTTATAACTTCATGCGGATGAAGTCGCAGTTAGGCAACAAAGATGTGTGTGTCTACGCTTTATTATAATAGTATAGAAAAAGATTTAAATGTCTTCGTTATTACGTCATTTTAAAGACATAATATATTTTTATTAATATGTCCTTTTGGATATGTGTTAATATTTATTGTTCCTATGTTTTTTAACTATAATGCGTTGCAGGGAGACAGGTTCGGTGGAGCCCTAGACCGGGCTGCGGCGGACTTCTGCGCCGCGTATGACAAGGGACAACACCCACAGGAGTTTGTTAACGAGAAGAGGGCAAAGGGAGAACTTATTATGGGTATCGGACATAGGTAAATTATGATATATTACTTTATATTGTATTTTACACTAATATTTGCCCGCGACTCAGTCTGTGTGGAATTAAAAAAAAATAACAATAGTAAGACTATGTGTTCTTTCAGACTATGTTCTATATATATATATATATATGCCAAATTTTATCCAGATACGGTCAGTAGTTTGGGCTATAAACTCTTAACAAACATCCTTCCATCTATCCATCTAAACCTTTGGATTTATATTATTAGTATGATTATAAGGGGGAAAGGTTTGATTTTTAGATATTTAGAGAATTTTAAAATCGGCTCAGTCGTTTTCGACTTATTTCAATACATACGAATATCTAAAAATCCAAAATTTTCCTCTTTATTATCATACTAAAATTAGAAATGCAAAGGTTTAGATGGATGGATGTTTGTTAGAGTTTGTAGCCTAAACGGATGAACGGATCTCGATTAAATTTGGCATTGATGTAGAGGACAGTCTGTAAGAAGACATAGGCTACTCAATTTTGTTTTTTTTTTTAAATTCCACACTGAGAGAGTCGCGTGCGAAAGCTAGTATATATAATGTTATATATAGATATAGATATATATATAGAGTATTATGTAATTCCAGAGTGAAGTCGATCAACAACCCGGACTCGCGCGTGCGCGAGCTGAAGGCGTACGTGACGTCACAGTGGCCGGCGTGGCCCGTGACGCGCTACGCGCTGGACGTGGAGGCCATCACCACGCGCAAGAAGCCCAACCTCATCCTCAACGTCGACGGCATCGTCGCCGCCGCCATGGTCGACCTCTTCCGCCACTGCCAGCTCTTCACGCAGTCAGTATATTCAATTATTAGCTTGCTCCCGCGAATCCGTTCGCGGGGTATTAAAAAAAAAGTGAGGAGCCTGTGTGTTCTTCCAGACTATACTCTACATCTGTACCAAATTTTATGGTAATCCGTTCAGCAATTAAGCTAATTTCTAACAAATATCCATTTATCGAAATTTTCGCATTTATAATATTAGTATGATTTCTAACGCTTGCTAATTTCGCATGTTTTATATTAAATTTATACATGTATACATACACTAGCTGTTCCCGTGCGACTTCATCCGCATGAAATTATGAAAATTATATTTTATTGTACATTTGTCAAATTATCAATTACAAATGTCAAAATGACATGATGACAACCTTGCTTCCTTGATGTTGGCAGCTACTTATGATTTCTTTCCCACATTAGGGATTTTATCCAAAATATTTACCCCCTAAGTTAAATGGCGTTAAAATATATAGCTTAAAGCGTGACGTAAGTGTAGGGCTTTTTATTAACAAAAGAATTATTCAAAAATATGTTGTTATTGCTGACATCTTAGGCAACAAAGAAGTGTGTGTTTACGCTTTATTATAATAGTATAGATATAAAAGTAAACATATATATAAAAACTTGTCTAAATCACAATAATAATGTTTTTGATAGTTCACAATATACTAATTTTCGCCCGCGACTCCGTCCGCGTGGAATTAATAAAAAGAGTTAGTAGCCTATGTGTTCTATCCAAGGACATTTAAATAAGATATACATGAGACAGTGAACATTTTTTTTTACTGGTACTTTCTCTGAAAGGTACTACATCAGTTGTCAAATTTAGTGCCGTCTCGTATAATAAAACAATTTACAAAATTAAAGCTACATTTTTTTGTTAAAAATATCTATACATGAAATTGAAATAATTTTAAAACTATTAGGTCGATTTCAAACATTCTTTCAAAATTAGAAAGCTAATTTATCTGTGAGTATAGGCTATGTTTATTGTTTCACGGGGACAAAGTCGCGAGCGACAGCTAATATTTATGTATATTAATGCTAGCTTTCGCCCGCGACTCCGTTTGTGGAATTAAAAAAAACCAAAGGTGAATAGCCTATGTGTATTTCTAGACTACTCTTATGTCCATATTAAATTTCATCTAAATCCATTCAATCGTTTAGGCTAAAAACTCTAATATCCATCTAAAATTTGCATTTCTAATATAAATGTGATATTGTTTTCAGAGAGGAGGGTAATAATTACATCCAGATGGGTGCTATAAATGCGCTGTTCGTGTTGGGGCGCACTATCGGCCTGGTGGGGCACTACCTCGACCAGAAGCGCATGAAGCAGCCCCTCTACCGCCACCCCTGGGACGACATCACCTACATGCCGCCCCACAACTAGATCTGATAACAAATCCAATATATATTCATTATATCGATGGGTGAAAACTGTTTTAACCGCTATAAAAATAATTCAGGGGACCCAAAGTTTTTTTTTATATAAAAAAACATGAAAAATAATTCTGAAAATCATTTTTATATGATTTTCAAACAGATTCTAGATAAAATTACTATATTTGTGTACTTTATTCAATCTACTGACTTTTTTGGACTATATTTGGATTGTTTCAAGCGTCACAAAATATCTCTGATCTTAAAGAAACCTAAACGACGCAGAATAATTTGCTGATTCTGAACATATATATCATAAATGTGAAAGTTACGATGTATGGATGTTTGTTAACATTTGTAGCCTAAACGGATGAACGGATCTAGATGAAATTTGGCACAGGTTTAGAGCATATTCTAGAAGAACACATAGGCTACTTTTTATCTCGGGAATAGTTACGGTTCCCGTGGGATTCATTAATTTAGTTTTTTAATGTTTACTCGATCATTCTGCAACGGTTCAACATATCTTATTGAAATTTGTCACAGATATAAAACAAAGTCTGGAATACACATGGGGTAAGGTTCATCCCCGAGAAATGTCCGGTTCCCGGGATACGTAGCTTTTTGTTATTTATATAGTATGTTTTCTAATTCCACGCGGACGAAGTCGCGGGCAACAGCTATGTAAGTCAATATAGCCTAAAATGGCGGTTGAAACATAACTTTTCACCCGTAGATATATTATTATAACTTCAAAGAACTACGAACTCAGTAAAAATCCTTTTTTCCTTGCCATTTTTTAAATAACACCCTTAGTAAAAGGATGGGAAGGAAAAAGATTTGGGTATAGGAAGGGAATATCTTTATGTGCTTTACCGATTAAAAGTATATAAGCTGGTTGTTTCGCTATTTCGGCGAATTTAAATCCCTTATTTGCCGTATGTTGAAAGATAATTCTTCGGTTGGGTAAGGGCCTTTAAATGTAGAATAATGAAAATATATCGAATAAAATAATAATATTGTTACTTGCCTCCCCCAACCCTAGATAATCTAGCGATAGACAGACGAAAGTAACATTTTCAATTATTTTTGTATATATTTTCTCATTTTTATTGAATTCGATTAATAAAACTCTTGTGTTGGTTGACAATTGATCCGTGTATGGCGGTTTTAACTGTTTTCTAAATTCACTTCATTAAAAAAATCTTAAATATGCAGTAATTATGGCACTATTTTATTTAAATTCTTATTTAAAAAAAAAAACCTCAAAAACAACGAATTCGAAGTGTATTTTATGAAAAAGCCAACACAAAAGTTTATTTTTTACACTAGATGGCGCTAATATTTATAAATATTACAAATATCTTATTTAATTGAAAAAAAAAATGATTTTAATATAAAAATATTGAATATAGTTTATAATAGTTTAGTAAAAAAGCACAACAATCAACGCCATCTATCGGAGAGTTCGTGTAAGTAGAAAATCATTTCGCTTCGGGATCAACTTTTGTAGAATTTGGTTTAGCTTAAGTTAAGTAAGACAGCCGTTAACTTAGTAACTTTATATATGTATTTAAAATATTTGTATGGAATTTATTTAATTTCACAATAAGTACAATAATTCAAAGGTTTCTTTCGCTTTTAGTATATTTTTATGTTTGTATTTAATATTTGATAAATAACATGAAATATATATATAAATATGTAACGGCTGTCTTTGTCAATGTCACAATGTAGTTATATTTTTCTATTGTATAGTTTAGTTAAGAATTGACATTTTATCGCTTTATGGCAACACAGTTATAAATAACAATGACAATTACTGGCAACACTGGTATGCAAAATAATGACAATTTTAAAAACAATCTAAAATAATAATAAAAATATATTAAAAACTCTATTTTTCTTAAAAAAAATTGTAACGATAATTCTGACGCGGTCAAAATACATTCTGACAGCTCAATCATTTATGTCATGTCACAAGATTCTTGTCATATTGTCATATCTTATGTAATTTACCTTTTTTTTAGGTTTTTACAATATTTTGTGACAATAGCAATAACAGTGTTTCACCGGGTCAAATATATTTTTCCGACTATAATACATAAAATGCACTAAAACTAGATTTTTATATGAAACGTTTAAATTCCAAAAAATATGTTCGAATCTACACAAAATTTAGATTCACGCTAAAAATCACTTTTAGGTAAACTAAGGGTCTGTCCCACCACTGGCTGATAGAGAGTCAGATAGCTTAAAAATGACGTCACAGATAAGGGAACAAAATCCGATATTTCTGTCGCATATTTTGTTTGATTGTTGGATAATTTATAATTTAGTGGGACAGGACCTAAATATATTTATGTACTAACTAGGAATATTAAAATGCAGGTTTTTAAGCGTTTTTTCAACGCATAGAAATTTATTTATGTATTTCAAAACATCGCAAAGGTTTATTCGCGGTCGAATTGTAATTAGTGAAATTTACTCGAAATATTTTAATGAAAATGCAGTTATTGCTTATTATTGATGGAATTTTGTTATTTACAGCCTTACAAGTAAACTCGGTAAGTTAAAGTTAGTAATAAACTGGGTATAAGCATAATTTGTACTTATATTTGCTTATACTCAGTTTATTCCTAATTTGTTGACTTAAAATTGATTATTTATGTATTTTTGTTATTATTTTAGGTTTTATTTCAAGTTTTCTTTGCCGAAGCATTTATTGTCCTCATTTTTTAAAGATACATGTTTCTGTAGATGTTTCGGGAGTGAGAACTCATAACGTGGTTTACTGACTTCTATAGATTTTGTTGGATAGATGCTTGGAAATAACAGGCAATTATATTATAAAATTCTGAACGAAATTAAAAAAAATGTTACCAAATATATCCTGTGTTATTCAGTGATATTGTAGCTTTCTCATAGTAATTTTTTTTAAATTCAATCTATTAGTTTTTCGGTTTTTTCGTTACATATAAAAAATATGAATATTACGTCTTTATTATAAAAATTAAAATTCACATTTCAACCAGAACATATGTGGTGAAATAAAGCCTATCTTGTCTATAGAGGTCAGTGGTATTCATGACGTCACAGTTGCGGGACGGGGTCGTATTTAAGTTATGGTTAAGTTACATTCTGTTTAATCTCTAATTTATTGGTGTATTTGTGAAAATGGTTGGTATTCTTGTAAATAATGAAAATTTGTCAACTTATTGGAATATATTTTTTTTATTTACTGCATTCTTTTTGTATTATTTAACCTGTTCTGTAAGCTTAAAGTAAAAAGGGGCACGTCCTCCAAATATGGTGTCTTTACTATATTAGACTTTGGCCGTTTTCCTCACATTAAACCTTTCGATAGCGTTTTTAATTCGATAATGCGCTTCCGAACTATGTAACTTGAGTATTACTCTAAATACATTTAAGAAACATATAGACTAGACATAGTAAACATCTATTGTTCACCGGTATTTTCTTTGAAAGGTACTAAGTTGTCAAGTTTAGCATGCGTAATGTCTATATATATCTATATCTCTCCATCTCTTGTTTACAAAATAAATCATATGTATACATTTAAATATGATTTAGTGACATCTATTGGCAATTCATTAAAACACAATTAGTTTTTTTACAAGTGTTTTTATGGATATAGCGTTAGCGAGATGTGAAAAAGAATAGGGAAGTGTTAACTATGCCTTTACTAGTTATATTTTTTGAATCTTTGATTCCAATGGAACTTTAGTGAACCTAACACTTATGATTGACTAAGTAACGATAAAATAAACGGAATTTTCCGAAACCCAGGACTACTACTACTTACTTACTTTGAAAGAATTTGTCAAACAAATTGATTCTTATTGTAAAATAAGTGTAGTCAATAGTATAATTTCTGTTAGAAAATGTATTTTAACAAAAATGTGTTGAAAATATTTATATATGTTGAGGTTAAGAGTAAATTGTAGATTGTCTATAGTACATTCGAATACATAGTATGTATTTGAATCGAATCCGGTAGAAATTCCAATCTTAACGAAAAAAGGTAAAAGAAAAAACACTATAAAAGATTATAACTTTGTTTATTATATAGCTAACAGTATGCATGAGTCGCAGCAAACGGAGCGGTCGCTTACAAAACAAACATCCAAAACATTTTAAAATCATCATTATTCAAAAACAAAAGGCACGATGTTTACAAGTTTCTATATTGAGTCAATATTAATTAATTATTCGTATGAATAATAGATATATAATCTATAGATGGAATATGTCAGAAACGTCTAGTTTTTTTTAATTTTTTCTCTCACTGATTATCCGATCTATAGTTTATACGTCCACATTTTAAAACATTTTTTAAAAATTATTACAAAAAAATCATCATCAGAATGTCCAAAAACCGCTCCGATTGCAAATAAAAAAAAATTGCGACGATCACTTAAAAAACATATATTATCTAACATAATGAGTTTTCATATAAAATCAGACCGATGGAAAGCCTTCAAATATGTCTGTAGAAAAAAGTGAAAAAAAAACATACAAAGTTGGGATTCACTTGATAAACTACACTTTTCCGACTTACACAAAAAACCTAGTAATTACGTCTTACTAATCTTATTACTTACTATTTAGTAACAACTAATTACTAGTTTTTGTTTAAATTTCTCAAACGATAAAATATAAAACAAAAAGTCCGAAAATAACCTAAAAAAAAACAAGAACCTTCCATCGGTCAAAAATACAAAAAGATTTGCGAACAATATTACAAATATAGCGTGACCAGGAAAATAAAACACTACACATTATTTCAGAAGTTTGTAACTATTATTTTAGAGTGGCAACAATTTCTTTGAAAATAAATTCGTTGTTAAGAAATTTGAGTTGTTTGTTGTTGTTAAAATTGCAAAAATTACCACAAACATAATAAAAGACTAAAATATTGGGCCAAAATAAATCAATCAATTTTACAGTGATGTGAACTGTTTAAAAATATCGATTATTTTATAAATCAAATCACAAACAATCGAATTCAGTTATGATAAATCGATAATGCAGTTCTAACTTAAAAAATGGCCGCTTTTATGCGTTTTTAAACGACAGTATTTACTATATTCCTGGTCAGAATAACCTATGAGTAGACAACAAGTAACATATAAATAATAAATTACATTTTACAATGAAAAATTTGGTACAAAACATCCAATTATTTTTGGACAAATTAATGGCTATACAAAAAAAAGCAATTAAACACAAAGGGTGGGTTGTGGCCGGATATTTATTTATAAATTCATATATTATCATATTTTTAAGCAGAAATCGTATCGATAATGCAAATATTATGTAAACATATATTTAAAAAAATACTCTGACCGTTTACAATCTGACAGATGTCAAAATTTTAGGACGATAACGGTGAGAGTCAAAATGGCGGGTGTACCATCGCGAATTAAATTATACCACTTACTAAAAAAATGTACCTAAAATGTACTAATTAGTACCTCGCTCAAAAAAAATTGTACCATATCTAGAACGTTATTATAACGAAATTAAGTTACAGCCGCTATATTGACGTCAATATGGCGGGTGTGCTATTTTTTATTTTTATTTTAGCCATTGTTTATAACATATGGCTATACCAAATAAATTGTACCTAAATAGTACCTCATTAAAAAAAATATACACACTTAATATAGTAGATAGTTTTCGAGAAATAAAACAATCAAAAGTCTTGCTTAGTAACGTTATTTATATTTTAC